TTTTAGGCCAGTTTTTAAAAATGTGTAGGTAACCTGTCTTTTGTGTTAAGCATCAAGTCTTCAGAACTAACTTTGAAAGTAGATCTCTATAGTCCATGACAATATATTGAATCTAATAACTTCATTTTAAAAAATTCAAACTTAAAATTAATATTTCTCAGAATAGCAAATGATTTGTTGTTCTTTTCACTTGATTTTTGAAATATGTGTGTATGTGTTTACTATTTAACAAAAAAACCTGCATATTCTTCTAAGCCTGTTACAAATTTGAACTAATTTGTGTTCTTATGTCAACACACTGAGATAGGCACCATATAACAGGTGATGAAATTAAAGCAAAGAGAAGTTAGGAAACCTACCCAAGATCACACAGCTAATAGTAGTTGAGTTTAAATTTGAACCAGGTAATCTGGCTCTAGAGTTTTCTTAACCACCATACTATCCTGCTTTCCTTTATAGTTAATAATGATAAAGATTGATGAATAGTAAAGAAAATACTTAGATCTTAGAACCCAGATCAAGAAACAGAAATTTGTAGCATCATACAAATGTTTTATGTATATCCCTTCATTCACATGCTGTTATCTCCATTCAATATACTATTTTGACTTTTGTGATAATTCTATCTCTGTATTCTTTATAACACTGCCGTCTATAAGTGAGCCTCCAGACAATACACTTAGTTTTAATCTGTTTGTGAGTGTTCTGGGTAGGGTTTTGTACTGGGACTTGAAGCCAGGGCCTTTGCACTGAGATATTACCCACCCTTTTTAAGACAGAGTCTTGCTAAATTGCCCAGGCTGACCTCTAACTTGTGATCCTCCTCCCTCAGCCTTTTAAAGTGCTGGAATTACAGGCACATGCCACAATACCCAGCTAGTTTTAGACTGCTTTAATATTTTATCTAGATAGAATATATATAGAGATATAGATATAGATCTATCTTTGCATATATATATATAAGTCTATTATGTTCAGTTTGGCCATTATTCTATCATTTAAATATTTGAAGATTTAGGTTTTTTTTCTTGTGTTGGTTTGGGGCTTATTTTTGCAAGGGAAGAACAATATAATACAGGACACATAGTTTGTAAGATTTTTTGTAATAGTCACACAAAGAACAATATACAAAGAGTGCAGGAAATCTGTCCATACACCGAGACCAAGGAATCTGACCAAGGGCCTGAATCCCATGAAAATGTCCTACAGGAGTCTAGCTGAATACCTAGCACTCATAACAATGCCTCCCACGAATCCAACTGGAGGCCCAGAGCCCGTGACAACATCTCATGCAGGCCTGTTTCATGGCTCTGCACTGGGAAGGCCCAAGGGTCAGTGGTGGAATCTAGAAAGTCTGTGCCAGCAGGATGAAGAATCTGTGCTAGCAGGCTAAGGGATCTGCACTGGAGCTAGGACACCACACTCAGAAGAACAAAGGTACCACAGCCATCATCAGCAACAGTGAGGTCCCAAGCTCCTCTGATGATCAAGATGGCCAAGTTCCCATCAGGGAAGACAATGCAGCAAGCTTCTCCAGGAGACCAGCAGTGCACCATCTTCCCTTCTGGAGCCAGGAAGTGATGCTCAGCATGAGAACCAGAGCTCCCCCAAAGTGAACTGAAGCTATTCTTAGTGCCAGCATGGTCCTGAGCTCCTCAGAGGATGAAAACAGCCAAGTTCATCTGGAAAGCCAGCATGACAAGCTCCTCCAAAACAACCAACAGCTCCTTACAGCTTCCACCAGCCTTTCTCCACTCCCAACAGCCCCCCTCCTTCTCCAGTTCTCCCTCTTATGCTGCTGGCAACAATCCCCAGGTGGGCCTCCCACACCCAGCACCAGGCTTACTTAGTTCAGCTGGAGGTTATAAGTTAACCACCAGTGGTCAATCCACCACAGTTCTCTTGTTGATAGACATATGGTTGTTTCCAAATCTTGCTATTCTGCACAATGCTACTTTAAAAATTATAACTGTTAATGTTGAGCAAAGTAGACTTACATATATGTGTATATGTGTGTACCTAGGGGAAGATTTCATGTATCATAGTGTATGTGAATATTCTTAGTTGTTCTAAACTATTTTTCCATTATTCAAACCAAATGACACTCCTACCTGCAGTTGGTAGAATTTCTCATTTTAAACCCCTTTCCAAAAATCTGAAGCTGCTGGGTGTGGTGGCACACGCCTGTAACCCCAGCACTCAGAAGCCT